ACAGACATCTGTCTGTATTTGTATACTGCATTGACTTGTGCAGCTGTTTTAAGTCCTTAATCGACTTACTCTCCTGTATTAGAAAAGGTACATATATTTTTTGCTGACGAGTTCTGTGTAGCACATGTCCGTGACAGACGCTGGTGTGACTAAGCGGATTTTGAAAGAGGCCATCAGATATATAGCAAGTGAATAATTGAATATGACGGATAAATTCCTTTTACTTTTCGTTTTCAGCTTTAAGAACCAAACTAACCACATTCAGAACCCTCATCAGATCCGTCCACACAGTCTTTGTCCCCATCACATCTCCATGCTATGTGGATACACTCTCTACCAGTGTGGCACTCCCATTTCGAGTCGTCTGAACAAATAGATACATTTTTGGTTGCACAGTTTATTTCATCGCTTTGGTCGTTACAATCAACCTCGCCATCACACTGCCACAACTTGTCGATGCAATACTTGTTAGAACACTGGAACTCATCAGCAGTACAAGTTACATCAGCTGTCACAAAGAAGGGAAAATAAATCATTTACTTACATCAACTTATGGATATCTTTGATCATTTTTACCAGATTTTAATTAAAAAATACATACGACATGGTTTTTCATCGCTGTTGTCACCGCAGTCATCATCTCCATCACACTTCCATTTGTTGTTTACACACTTGGAATTGTCACATCTGAATTCATCACTATAACAGGTAATGGAGTCACACGTCTCGTCCTCACCATTAGAACAGTCGGGTGAACCATCACAACGCCAGCTAGCTGGTATACACTTTCCATTTCCACAACTGAACTGGTCATTAGCACAAGTTTTGTTCTCTGTAAATAAAGACGTTGTTATCAATATTATGCACCTTTCAATCTCTCAGTGACAAAAACTCAAAACATCCTAAAAAATGAAATAATACTTAATAAAATAAATAAAATTAAAAAGAAAATATATAAAATTTCAAGGCCGGTATACACGATGAGATTTGTAGTATAATACAAGTATTTTAATACTTTTGTATCATAATACTTTCTTGTACACACGCTAATACATATCTTATAAGATTGTAAGTTTGCTGCAACAGTCTCTTTCATACGATCCATCAAGACAGTCTGCTTCATTGTCACAGACCCATCTCATTGGCACACCTGAGCTGAAGGCTATACTTGAGTTTTTCTGATCAGTGTTCGGCGTTCGTCTGTCGTCTGTCGACTTTTTAGCTCTTCTGAGCCAAAGGCTCAAAGAGCTAATGCTATGGCCATTTGTGCGGTGTGCGGTGTGCGTTAACTTTTTAGAATATGGGCTATAACTCAAGAACCCCTTGGCCAATCAGTGTCAAATTTGTCACAGGGTATCCTTGGCCCAAGGGCTACCATTTTTACTAAAATAAGGGTTGGGACCCTAAAACAAGGGGAGATAATCAGGAAAACAAAACCAAAAGTACTGGTTGCTAAAAAATCTTCTTATCCAGAACCACCAGGCAGATTTTCACCAAACTTATATACAAGGATTAAGATATGTTGAAGATTAAAAATTGTTCAAGGCATGACCCTGGGGCAAAGGGCGTGGTCTCAAGGTCACTTCAAAGTTGACCTAAATTTACAATTAATAAAAACGTGTATATTTTCTTTACTATAAGGACTAGGATCATCAAATCTTGCATGTTGATGCATCTTACGACTTCACATCATGTTAACTCAAAAGTAGGTCACGGTGACCTACTTTTTAAATTTTGCGGGGATTTGTTTTCAAATTGATTTGAAGGCATATTTTGGACACTTTAAGGCCTATGATCATCAAACTTTGTCAATTGATGCATCTTGGGTCCTCAAACACTGTCAACTTAAAAGTAGGTCACCATGACCTACTTTTTGAACTTTATGACTTATCCTTTTAAAAACATTAAATCCCATTATTTCAGACACTGTAAGGTTTAGAATCATCAAATCTTGTACTTCGATGCATCTTGGGACTTTAAGACATATTTATGAAAAAGTAGGTCACTGTGACCTACTTTTTGAATTTTGCTGACTTTTGTTTTCAAATTGTTTAAATCGCATATTTTGATTACCTTCAGACCTACAATCATCAAACTTGGTCAGTAGATGCATCTTGGGTCTTTGAAAAATGTCTGCCAAAATATAGGTCACGGTGACCTACTTTCTACATTTTATGGTTATATTTAAGTATCTTAGGTATTTATTGGCTTAGAATCTTCAAACTTTGTGAGTCGATGCATATTTGGTTTTCGGAGAGTGACGACCAAAAAGTAGGTCACGATGACCTACTTTTGACATTTTATGGCTTTATTTATGTATCTCCAGTACTAATTGGCTTAGAATGATCAAAATTTGTGAGTTGATGCATCTTGGGTTTTCGAAGAGTAACGACCAAAAAGTAGGTCATAATGACCTGCTTTTGACCTTTTGTGACTAAAATTAAGTATCTCTGGTACTTATTGACCTAAAATGATCAAATTTTGTCAGTTGATGCATCTTGGGTCTTCAGAAATCGTCGACCAAAAATTAGGTCACAGTGACCTACTTTTGACATTTTATGGCTATATTTAAGTATCTCAGGCACTTATTGGCTAAGAATCATCAAACTTTGTCAGTCGAGGCATCTTGGGTTTTCGGAGAATGTCGACCAAAAAGTAGATCACGGTGACCTACTTTTGATTATCTCAGGTATGTATTAGCTTAGAATCATCAAACTTGGTCAGTTTAGGCACCTTGGGTTTTCAGAGAATGTCGACCAAAAAGTAGGTCACTGTGACCTACTTTTGACATTTTATGGCTACATTTAATTATATCTGGTACTTATTGGCTCGGAATTATCAAACTTTGTCAGTTGAGGCATCTTAGGGTTTCATTGAATGTCCAACAAGCAGTAGGTCACGGTGACCTAATTTTGAATATCTCGAGTACTTATTGGCTTAGAATCTTCAAATTTTGTCAGTTTAGGCATTTTTGGTTTTTGAATAACGTCGACCAAAAAGTAGTTCACCATAACCTACTTTTGACATTTGTTGGCTATATTTAATTATCTCTGGTACTAATTGGCTTAGAATCGTCAAACTTTGTAAGATGATGCATCTTGGGTTTTCAGAGAATGTTGACCAAAAAGTAAGTCATGGTGACCTACTTTTGAATATCTCTGGTACTATTTAATTAGAATCATCAGTCTTTGTCAATTTATGTATCTTGAGTCCTCAGCAAATTTCAATCAAAAGGTAGGTCACTGTGACCTACTTATGGTATTTTATAATTATATTATAATATCTTTAGTCTTAACTGGATAAATATTATCATACTTTGTAAGTTGATGCATTTTGGGTCTTATGATACTAATAGAGTTGGAGGCTCGTAATAGAAGTGATACATCGTACAATTTATCAGAAGAGCGATTCAAGGCCCTTGGGCCTCTTGTTTACATTCGCGACTTCTTCTCAAGAACCACTGGGTCAATTTTAACCAAACATGCCAGAAAGCAGCATTGGATAAAGGGAGTTAAAGTTTGTTTACAGGAAGTGCCGTACCCCTTTTCCAGGGGAGATAATTAAGAATACCTAATATCGCGAGTACCTCACTGTTATTTTACTTAATTAATACCGCTCATCGAGAAAGCTCTAAATCTTTCAATATTTCTGAGCTACAAAACATTATTTACAGTAGTGACAATCGAATGAATCGAACAATTTTATGCCAAAAAATACAATGCAGGACCAAGGATTGAACTCGATCCAAATCGTAGATTGTCAATTAAAGAAAGTTTAGAATATTTCATCAGCTTTAGGGGGGACCTATGTCGTTCTACGTCAAAGCAGCATTATGAGACGTCACAATAGCGACGTTTGTTTTTACCATTTGACTTTTGCAACTGTGATATAGGCTAAACATTGTCAGCTGTCACAAGAAAGGAAAAATAAAGCATTTACTTGCATCAATTTATACATATATTTTATCGTTTTTACCAGATTTGAATTAAAAAATACATACGACATAGTTTCTCATCGCTGTTGTCACCGCAGTCATCTTCTCCATCACACTTCCATTTGTTGATCACACACTTGGAATTGTCACATCTGAATTCACCGCTAGCACAGGTACGGGAGTCACATGTCTCGTCCTCACCATTAGAACAGTCGGGGGAACCATCACAACGCCAGCTAGCTGGTATACACTTTCCATTTCCACAACTGAACTGCTTATTAGCACAAGTTTTGTTCTCTGTAAATAAAAACGTTGTTTATATCAATATTATGCACCCACCTTTTAATCTTTCGGTGACAAAATCTAGGGACTCAAAACATCCTGAAAAAAACCTAATAATGTATATTAAAAAAAAATAAAAAGAATATATATATATAAAATATTAGCTTGCTGCAAAAGTCACTTTCATTCGATCCATCATTCAACTAGTCTGTTTTTTTTTTTGTCACAGACCCTTCTCATTTGCACGCAGTGACCAGATCTACATGTAAATTCATCTTCTTGGCACGTCTTGGAAGCTAAAACCGATTTCAAGACACTTCTTTGTTTCAGTTAAATTAGAAAAACTAAACTCATTCTATTGTCAATTCAAATTCCCAACAAATGTACATTACATATAATAATATGATTCTGATGTGTTTTAGTTCATCTGAGCCGCAGTATAGCCAATTTCAAAGCGATTTACAAAAATAAGAAAAGATATAAAGAACATTTAATAACATCCAAAACTACTAGTATTTCAAAATATGGTGATGCTTGAAAGTCCGATTACAATGGAAACTATCGTCTATCCCCCTTTTTTCAAGAGCTGGAGTTAGAGATAATTTATAATTAAGCGCTGATATCAAGAAAATTAATCTTTTTTTTTTAATTATTCTTTGTATTAAACAAAGAATTTATGGCCAGATTGTCATTTATATTAAATTAAATGGTTGCAAAATGTAGACGGGAATCGAGAGTTAGCGTGCGAATTAATGCATTTTCACTATACATGTATAATCAATAGAGCCCCACCCCAACACCAGAACCCCTGACCCTGGGGCCATAAAATTCACAATTTTGGATAAAGCACTCTTGCTCATCATAACTATGTACTTAGTTAGTTTATTTAATATCAAGGAGCAAAGAAGAAGATTTCCAAAGAATTTATGCATTTTCACTGTATAATCTATACAGCCCCACCCTATAGCTGCACGTCTGTAGCGTTATGGTTTTATGTATTTGTATTTGACCATATATGGTCATAGACAAATATATAAAACCACAACGCTACTGTAGCCCTTTTCACAAAAAATCTTAAGACTAAGACCAAAATTTCCTAATTCTTTTCTACTCAGCTAAATTGCAGCAAGTCACTCATAATCTTATATTTCTATTACTTAACAGTGTATGGTGAACTATTCTTAAAATATAACAAATTTCTTAATAAAACATAGGATTTACAGAGATGTCATATTTTAATCTTAGTCGTAAGATTTTTTGTGAAGCTACCAGAGAAGAAGCTTAAATGTTAAAAAGTTTACGACCGACCAACGACGACGGACGAAAACAGATAGCAATAAGTCACCTGAGTTTACTCAGGTGACCTGATAAAGCTATAATGTAGAATATCATGAATATATCGGAATTGAATTATACTTTAATGTACTTCCGTGAAAAAAAGCTTTACTTACGGTAAAGGGAGGAGTCATTTCAAATGGAATTTAAATAAAAGTAATGAAGAGAGATATCTCTTTGCAATAAAGATATATCTCCTTTGCTTGAGAGATATCTCTGTAAGACACTTTTGAAAGATTTCTCTTTCACTTTGAGAGATGTCTCTTAAGATAAACCATGAGAGATATCCCTTTGACTCTAAGAGATATCTCTAGAAGTACAAGATATATCTCTCTAGGTGAAAGAGATATCTCTTTAACGTTCAGATATATATCTTTTCACGAAAGAGATATCCCTCAAGGAGAAAGAGATATCTGTTCATATTGGAAGAAAAATTTCTGTTATAATACTGTAAAAGCACAAATATTCGTGGGGGATTAAATTTCGTTTATTTCGTTGTTAACAATATTCAACGAAATTAAATCCCACACGAAATTTTATATTATATTACTTTCTAAATGACCACAAAACTTTTTTTGAAGACAAAACAACGAAATTTTATGCCCACGAAAATTTGTGCTTCTACAGTAGATATATCTCTCTAAGTTGAAGAGATATCTTTTTCTCGTAGAGATGTCTCTTTAAGTTGCAAGATATCTCTATTTTCAAAGAGATATCTCTCTAAAATGAGAGAGACACCATTATAAATTATAAGATAAATTTTGTTTTCCGAATAAATAGCAAAAGGGATTGCCATACTTCCTCACCTCCTGACCTTCACTTGGGGAATTGACCTTTAAAAAGTTATCCCAGAGAAAACAAATGGAAATATTTTATCCTCCTAGGCACCTGATCCCACCTCTGAAATTCGAGAGGTTCGTGTTTTACACCCTGATTACAGATTTCTATTGTTTGTAGGATGATTGAGGTCGATCAGTATTCGCTATCTTCACCTTTTTCATAGAAATCTTCGAAAATAGATATTTTATATAGACGCCTCTAATTTTGAGACCAACCTGTAGGTCCATCCGGTACACTCTGACCAATAACTCCACTCAGAAATACCAATATAATAACACAATACGATAAGCAAAACTTCCTAGAAACAAATTCCATATTGTTTGACAAGTTTTCATCAAATATCAGAAATCCCAATCCTTCCCAGAATAAGAGAACAATGATCTCGATAGTTTGCTGCTACAACCTAGATAAGTTCACTGATATTATGATATCATTAATAGGATAATTGATTTGACTTATTATATTTCATTTGTCATTTGTATTCAAAGCAAGTCCTATGGATTTTTTTTTTTTTGTTTTGTATATATCATATTTTGAACAAAATGATTCAGAAAACCCTACGAGAAGAGGAGGCACAATTTTATCACCGGGATGCTTTGGAATCCGGATAGGGGTATGCAGTTTACTATATCGCATCATCAGGTGCACCATCGGGGTTTGGGTCCATATATAGTGCAATGATACGCTAATACTATATACGATGCTGCGATCGTCATCACATTGTCGTGGTATTGCTTCATCATGCCATCGGTCGACGCTCGATGGTGCGATAGTGAACTCCCTGGCCCAACCCTGATTTCATATTTTTTCTATCTACTATATAGAAACATGCTCTTTCGCTTTTTGAAAAGAATTTATCTAATTATACACGGAAATCTTATTATATCTGCAGATGAGCATTTCAAGTTGACCTTTTCTGCAACCCTCAAATTACCAGCAGGTTTCATTATTTTTGGAATAATCACCATTTACAAGAACCCATAACCTTTAATCAGCATAATGGTTTTACATTGAAAATGAAATGAAAATGTCAAATAGAAATTCTGTTTGGTGGAACCCTGATGAAGAAAATTCAATAAATCATAGAAACACTGTACCTTCATTCTGAAGAAAGAGTGGTTGAATATTCAAGGGACTTTGCGATAGTAAAATACTAGTACCCACTGCACGCCCGTCTGTTTGTACAAAAATCTACTCCTTGTACAGTTTTTGTCTCATTTTATTGATTGTATATTGTTAACGTCACACCGAGAATTTTTCACTCATATGGAGGCATCGCCGTAAGCGTATGCCTGTGAAGGGCTTCAAATTTAGACCTCTAATCCGGCCCTGAGGGCCATTGAGCAGTGAGGGTTCTTTATCGTGCCAACGCCTAGAACAGTCACTACCTATGTTACGTCTTAGGTTTGACGCAGCGCCGCAAATGAGAATCAGTCGGGCCTCCCGATCACGAAGCGAACGCTCTACCTGTCCCATTTGAATATAACCTGGTACACACGTATATTAAACTAAGATGCATAATTCTTCGGAGTTACAGTAGTTACTTGAATGATTGCTTAAAATAACATTTTCTTTGAAGTACTTTTAAAATCTCTCTTTCTTTTTTTTTTTTAAAATCTAGTTTTGTTCTAGTACATATGATTTTTGTTTTCTTTATCCTTAAAGTGTCATTTTAAATGGCTTGATTTAAATCATCTTTTGTTTTACTAACATTGTATATTTTTTACTAATATTTATCTTTCTGTATATATGTTAAAGTCGGCTAAAGAGCTCACCACAGCTCATGTTATTTTGTTGAATCGTATATATGTACCGACTATAAATAAAAATTACTTGACTTGACTTGACTTGAAAATGCTATTCCTCGTGCGATATATGGAAAATTTCAATATAACTTGGAAAAAGAAGTAGACTACATACACTAAGATGCATGATACATATTCAATGTGGTGTAGCGGTATGATTTCAATGAAAGGGGTTGTCATGGTCACTGAAAGTAGAAATGTCTAGAAGATTCTTTTCAAAATGCTACTTCTCCCACAGTTTATTTTCCAATTTCAAATGGTTTTCTTGTATCATCAACTTATTTGCCAATAGGTTGCCTCGTTCTGGAACATTGTTGTACGTAGAGCATGCTCCTTTGTATCGAATCGAACTTCTTATACAGGTGATAAGAGTTGGCTATATATGTAAGGAAAGTTGACAATTTTTATCTTCTTCTCAAGAGCCACTGGGCCAATTTCAACCAAACTTGCCAAAGTATCCCTGGGTAAAGAGAATCCAAGTTTGTTCAAATGATGGGCCACACCCTCTTCCAAGGGGAGATACTTATGAATTATTGATAAATTAATGGTATTTTTTCAAAATCTTCCTCTTCAAAAAGCATTGGGCAAGGAAAAATGAAACTCATTTGGAGGCATCATCATGTAGTGTAAATTCAAGGTTGTTCAAATCATGAGCCCCTGGGTAGGGTGGGCCACAATGGGGTATCAAAGTTTAAAATAGGAATACATATAGGAAAAAAATCTTTAAAAGTCGTCTCAAGAATCACTGGACTGGGAAAGATGAAACTTGTGTAGAAATATCCTCTGGTAGTATAGATTCAAGTTTGTGAAAACCATTACCTCAAGGGGTAGGGTTGAGCCACAATGGGATATCAAAGTTTAACATCAAGTACACGTAATTATTTTTCTGTCCAATCAGACAACAGCATTTTTACACACCCCAAAACATATTTTAAAAGAACAGAAAGAAAACACGTGCTTTTTTTCCTCAAAAAGATTTTTTAAACAAAAAATCTGTAGAAGTAAGATGAAAACTTTTGAAGAATAAGGTATTCCCCACATTTTTACCGTGAACAACCTTGACATTTTTATCTCCGTAAAGAAAAAAAAATAATGCACGATAGAATGTAATCGTTTACAGAGGTATGGAACGCACCAGCAAGTTTTTATCAAGTTTAATTATAACATTTAACAGAATATATCAGGCCTACATGATGGTAAAAATAATTTTGCTTAACCGTTCGATTTTCATCGATAATGCTTAAATTCCATGTGTAAAGATCAACTCACACAAGTGTTTATCGTATGGAGTACTAAGTATACACATATAGTTTTGCATTATCACGGGTTTCATGAGCGTCGAATACTTAGCTATGCAGACTGTAAATGGGCATAAGGAAAGGCGTTTAACGTGGAGAAAAGAGAATCCTGTAATTATACATGAATGCGTTCTATCCCAATATCTTACCTCGCATATCAGAAACTGCATGGACTACTAGTATTCTGTAATAAACATTCAAAAATAATAAAGACTGTTATCTTTTCGATAAGATTTTTATGTCAGGCTCTAAAAACTGAAAAATTAATGTATTTATATCAATTTTTTAACGTGAGTAAACTTTTGGGATTGCTAATTCCGAGAGACAGATTTTTTTTTATCCCACTTAAAACGTATTCCAAGCTTTCAAGTCGTGTTTGTTCACGGTAGAATTGTCATCAATATTATATTATTCCCAAATGCATATGAAGTTTACAAAAATTTTGTTCTAAAAAAAATCTTTTGAGCAAAAAACTTAAAAAACCACGTGTTTTATTTATTCTCTCATGGGTTTGTCTGAATGCTGTTATCTGATTGGTCAGAAGGATTAGTGCCTTGTTTATTCTGTGTATTAATGGCAATTCACGGTTATCGTTCTTGACTTCCATATTTAGAAATCGTCCAGACCTGTTCAAACTTTTGGTTTTCACTAGGATATGTACACCAATGTGGATTTTAACAATTATGTTTTCATTGTTATACCCGCACTTTCTAAAGAAAGTTCGGGTATATTGTTGTTACTCATGTCCGTCCGTCCGTCCGTCACACTTTTCTTCCCCGAACTCCTCCTACATTTTACACAGTAGCTTAATCATCTTTTGGGAGATGGTTTGTGGGGTCATGTAGATGTGCAGTAAGGTTTTGGAATTTCGATTTTGCCCCGGGGGGTCAAATGGGGGTCGAAAAATGACGTTTTTTGTCCAAAAAGCCCCGTCTTCCCTGAACTCCTTCTAGATTTTACTCAGTAGCCTAACCAGCTTTTGGGAGATGGTTGGTGGGGTCATGTAGATGTGCAGTAAGCTTTCGGAATTTTGATTTTGCCCCAGGGGGTCAAATGGGGGTCGAAAAATGACGTTTTTTAAGCAAAAAGCTCCGTCTTCCCTGAACTCCTCTTACATTTTACTCAGTAGCCTAACCAGCTTTTGGCAGATGGTTGGTGGGGTCATGTAGATGTGCAGTAAGCTTTCGGAATTTTGATTTTGCCCCAGGGGGTCAAATGGGGGTCGAAAAATGACGTTTTTTGTCCAAAAAGCCCCGTCTTCCCTGAACTCCTTCTACATTTTACTCAGTAGCCTAACCAGCTTTTGGGAGATGGTTGGTGGGGTCATGTAGATGTGCAGTAAGCTTTCGGAATTTTGATTTTGCCCCAGGGGGTCAAATGGGGGTCGAAAAATGACGTTTTTTAAGCAAAAAGCTCCGTCTTCCCTGAACTCCTCTTACATTTTACTCAGTAGCCTAATCATCTTTTGAGAGATGGTTGGTGGGGTCATGTAGATGTGCAGTAACGTTTTGGAATTTCGATTTTGCCCCAGGGGGTCAAATGGGGGTCGAAAAATGACGTTTTTTGTCCAAAAAGCTCCGTCTTCCCTGAACTCCTTCTACATTTTACTCAGTAGCCTAACCAGCTTTTGGGAGATGGTTGGTGGGGTCATGTAGATGTGCAGTAAGCTTTCGGAATTTTGATTTTGCCCCAGGGGGTCAAATGGGGGTCGAAAAATGACGTTTTTTAAGCAAAAAGCTCTGTCTTCCCTGAACTCCTCTTACATTTTACTCAGTAGCCTAATCATCTTTTGGGAGATGGTTGGTGGGGTCATGTAGATGTGCAGTAAGGTTTTGGAATTTCGATTTTGCCCAGGGGGGTCAAATGGGGGTCGAAAAATGACGTTTTTTGTCCAAAAAGCCCCGTCTTCCCTGAACTCCTTCTACATTTTACTCAGTAGCCTAACCAGCTTTTGGGAGATGGTTGGTGGGGTCCTGCAGATGTGCAGTTAGGTTTCGGAGTTTTGATTTTGCCCCGGGGGGTCAAATAAGGGTCGAAAAATGATGTTTTTTTATGGAAAAAGCCCCATCTTCCCTGAACTCCTCTTACATTTTATTCAGCACTCCTTTTTTTGTTTTAAACAGTGGTCTTATCATCTTTTGGGAGAGTTCACTCTTTTGAAATTTTGTTAAAACATCAAGGTCAAGGGGTAAAAAATCATAGCATGTTGGGAGCCTCTTGTTATGGGTAATGTTCACTTGAAATGTGAAAGTCAAATCTCTTCTCAATGAAAAGGAAATACAACATTAATGAAAACTAAGTTAAACTTCAAGGTCAAGGTCACAGAGTCAAAAAGTCATGATACATTTTGGAAGGTCTTATCACAGGTAATATGAATGCCCTTTCATTTATCTTTCAAAATGATCAATTCAAAGCAATTAATTTTTTAAGGAAATTAGGTCAAACTTCAAGATCATGGGTAATGAAAATAATAGTATATGTAGAATGGTATTGTCCCATTTAATACTAATACACATGTTTAATATAAAAGTCCTATCTCTTCTCATTCAAAATATACGACCATGATGACCAAGGTTAAATTTATTGTGACAGATGGGCAGATTGACAAACAAATGAGATTTAATGTACCCTACCTTTAGCAAAAATGGGGACAATAAATGTCTTTGCTGATTTTGAGAAGAAGATTTATGTTGGAACAAGATGTGTTTGTGAAACACTACGCGCCCGGCGGCAACAAAGTTAAAAAAATCTTCTTTTAGCATATTGATCACAGTCAAGGTCACAAGGTCATTGACCATGGTGTCATTCGAAAGAACTTAATCAGTGGAGTATGCGTACTAAATATGAAGTCCCTATCTCCTATGGTTCAAAAGTTGTGGCAAAAAGTGTAAAGAGCTATTTTTAGCATATCCGTCACAGTCAAGGTCACAAGATCATTGACCTTGCCGTCATTTGAAAGGACTTTATCGGTGGAGTATGCATACCAAATATAAAGTCCCTATCTCCTTTGGTTCAAAAGTTATGACAAACAGTGGAAAAAGCTATTTTTAGAATATAGGTCACAGTCAAGGTCACAAAGTCATTGACCATGGTGTCATTTGAAAGAACTTAATCGGTGGAGTATGCATACCAAATATGAAGTCCTTATCTCTGATGGTTCAAAAGTTATGGCAAAAAGTGTAAAAAGCTATTTTTAGAATATAGGTCACAGTCAAGGTCACAAAGTCATTGACCATGGTGTCATTTGAAAGAACTTAATTGGTGGAGTATGCATACCAAATATGAAGTCCTTATCTCTGATGGTTCAAAAGTTATGGCAAAATGTGTAAAAAGCTATTTTTAGCATATAGGTCACAGTCAAGGTCACAAGATCATTGACCTTGATGTCATTTGAAAGGACTCTATTAGTGGAGTATGCATACCAAATATGAAGTCCCTATCTCCTATGGTTCAAAAGTTATGACAAACAGTGGAAAAAGCTATTTTTAGCATATAAGTCTTAGTCAAGGTCACAAGGTCATTGACCTTGAAGTCATTTGAAAGGACTTTATTAGTGGAGTATGCTTACCAAATATGAAGTCTCTATCCCTTATTGTTCAAAAGTTATGGCCAAGGTTAAAGTTGACAAACAGATAAACAGACAAACAGACAAACAGACAGGACAAAAACAATATACGCCCGGGATCTATCGATCCGGGCGCTTAAAAAGTACCCTGCATATTTAAATGTAAATTGGTTGAAATTAGCCCAGTGGTTCTTAAGAAGTTAATGTGAAAAGTTTGCAGATAAACAGATGGACAACAGAAATCAGTACATTTCAGAAAACAGTATGCTTATAAATAGTTAATCAAGGTGCTTTGGGTAGCAAAATAAAGCTAAACTGGTATATCTAATTCATCCGCAGAGCTTAGTATATTTCAATATGCACAACCTTTTCAACTCTTATAATTATTTTTTAAAATTTATATCACCATGTCTCATTCAAGGGAGAACTAGAGATATGACCAGATGTATATCTGTTGAATATAAAATATGTACATGTATTCTGTGTTTTTTTTAGTAATTTGTTTGTTTGTTGTGACAGCAACTGTTATGACAGCTTTTGGCAAAGGTTGAAGTTTCTCAAATGTAAGTCAAACTCCAAGGTCAAGGTCAAAGGGTCTAAATTGTTGGTATCAAAGGGAAAGTCTTGTCACAAGGAATACACATGTGAAAAAAGGGAGAAATCCCTAGAACTTCCTCACCTGTTCAAAAGTTATTGCCAAGGTTAAAGTTAAATTGGATTCAACTCTAAGGTCTAGGTCAAAAATAATTATACCTGTTGAAAGTTCACAATGATTACACATGTAAGAGCATGAAAGTCCTAGCACCACCTGTTCAAAACTTACCCCAAGTTCAAGGTATTTTTCTTGTAAAATTGGGTCAAACTCCAAGGTCAAGAGATCAAGAGGTCAAAATTGGTGGTACCCATTAAAAGGTTTTGCCAAAAGAAATTTACCTATGAAATATTGAAGCCATGTGTATAGCCCAATCCACTTAAAAAATATGGGCAAGGTTAAAGTTTCCGTGGACAGACAAAAATACATAAACATAGGAAACAAAATATGTATAAATAGTCAAATGAAAAAATTTTCTACTATTATGGAGTCATAAGATCAATTGTCATTTCAGGTACAGGGAGTCAGTGGCTATGGAGATCAGACCCCCCCCCCCCCCTGGAATTAGCAGTTATTTAAATAAGACTATATATGTACTGTAGAGAATAAAAATGACTTTGGACATCCTCCCCCTTAGAAAACAGGGACTCCACCATCATTGTTTTTATTATTATTTTTTATTTCCATCTCAGGAAATCTTGGGCTGATTTTTTTGACTGAGGTGTGACCCCCCCCCCCCCCCTTTCTGAAAAAAAAAATTCTGGATCTGCGTCTGTTATATACTGAATGTCCGCAACGGGAGATAACTTGACAATGTGAAATTTGTCGACTGTGGCATGCGATGATCTTTGACCATGTTGACCCTTTTTGAACTTCAACCTAACCATTTGCATTTATTTATTTTTATGCAATCTATACTAAATCTTGTACTTACCGAATGTCATAGGTCGTGACAACGAATTCATGAAATATAATCCATATAATCCAATTAAAACACAAATGATTTTAACTGACCACACTGCATCATCAGCATACATGTGCTAAATAATCTCATTCGACAAACCTTTGCTGATTCCGTTGCCAGTATGAATTGGCCGAGGTGTGCCGAGAGGTGATATCTATAAATATGATAATGGGTGACGCAAACCCAATGTGAATGTAGAAAATAAAACTGTTTAGTACAAGAACAAATTTCAAACTATCATAATAAACTAAACTATGTTTTTTAAAAAATGTGAGGGTGAGAGAGAGTGTGTGTGTGTGTGGGGGGGGGGGGGGGGAGATAGGCATTTAAAAATTAATCGGGTTGTATTTTAAATGGGTTTTTTTCCCGACCAAAAAAAATCAGTTTGCACATTTTGATAAATTTACAAAAACGCTTTGTACTAAAATAATATTTTATGTCGCTGAGAAAGTAAATTTAAAAAGTTCCTTATGGGAAAATTATTTATTTGAATCTAATTAAGTAATTTACTTCAATCATTAATTAAATTCTGTTATTTCAGACTGGTTATGAATTAAGTATTTTAAAATACATATGTGAGGCTCAGAGTTGATATGGTCATCTGAAAATTTTATGTTCAATTTGACGAATACATGTACGGTGATAATTATAGAATTATTTTGACTTCTTCCTTGGAAAATCCAATATGAATGAGTGTATATTTAGAGGCAAACACCATAGTGCGGGTATTACTGTCTCATGACAGCATCTAGTTATTGTAGAAAACACCAAAAAAAAAAAAATTGAAATTCTTTTTAAAATGCAACTCTTTATACTATATTTTTTGTCAAATTGCAAGGAAGACTGGACCAAGGATTGAAAATGAGAATTGCTACAAGGTGCTGCATTAATAAATGTCAGTATTGATTATCAAATAAATCACATGTTGTAATACAAATCCATTAGGCATTTTAATCTTTTACTGGCATCCCCAGGAAAGAAAACACTGCAATGTGTGACAATGTCAGTAATATGTCTTTATTTACGACTGAATACTTCTGATCAGATCAGAGTAACACAACATCTCAGCAGTATTGTACAGGACAACGGTGCACATGATCGTGAGAGGACAAATAATGATCTTTGTGTAGATCTAAAGAAATATCAATCTTAACAATGTCTAGCAAATCTTGTAGAATAAATAGGAGTGAAAATACAAGAGGAAAAAATAGTGACTTAAAGCTGTTTAATTCACATTAATTTTTACAATTTTTAATCAACTTTATGTGAAAAAAAAAATCAATTGAAAAAATGACAACCATTGGTAGATGACTTTTGTAGAACAATAAGAATACTCTTTATCTAGTCTAATAACGTATATGGATTAAGAATGAGATTCTCTTCTGACAGTTAAGCAATGTAAAGAAATATAATAAGCAGACATACATGTATATACATTGAGACATTTAGATTCTACATGAAAGTGAGGGTGCTTCTATACGTATATATACAGCTTTTACATGAACATGGAGCATGGTGTTGAATGTCATGTCTTAGCATTTCAAATTTGGTCTATAGAACTTCTAAATTTCATCCCAATAAATTTTTACATTCCTATTTAATAAAATCTTGACATCTGATACCAGCTGTTATTTCCCTTAATTACATTAATGAGCGTAGTATCACTTAATCAAGTTTGAATGTTCAACAGTCTAGGTACCCTAGTAGGAACATCTATGCAACACCAATGAACTATATCACATGATGCAAACTAAAATCCTACACTGAATTCTGTACATAAAGCTGACTTTTTAATTTCTTTAATTAATCAAAAGAATGCAACAGAGAAAAAGAAAGCTGCATTCAGTTTTTATTGAATTTCTTTTTTGTGTAAGCAAAAGTCTCGTTAAATATAATGTACAAGATAGTTTGGAAATTAATTCCGTGTGTAGAAATAATTCAATTAATACCAAAATACCATGTCCCTGAAGTTCTAAGGAAAAAAATACCACTCAATAGGGAATTCATCACAGATCAACTTTTAACATTAAAAACGTCAACATTGAATATGGTCATTGAATATGTGATGTATGGATAATAGTATATGATGATGAAGATGATAAAGAAATGATCCTTGGTCTATTATAATGCCATGTTGTGTAAAAATGAACATTAAGTATATATCTATACACAATAAAATATGCTTCAATACTATCAGTAGGTGGGAAAAATTGTCTTCAATGTACATGTTTTTTTTCTTATATACATAAGTTAGCCATCTTTATCATAAAATTAAATATATATTTATACTTTCAAGCCCTTGTTTTAGTAGGCAGTACAACAAAAACATATACAAGTAAGATTTAACTTCATTTGCTGTAGTTCAATCAACTGTTTTCAACTTTTGTTGAGAGATTTTTTTTCAAATAGCACATAAACACACAACAGAACTACCATTTTCACAGACACTAGAATCCTACTAAGTTTCCTTATTATGCCTGTACAAGGTGTTAAGTGTTTAGGGACGTTCTTTTAAATAAACAAGCACTTTTTTCTTCTGTCCGAAACATTTAGATACAAAAATGTACAAAATCATCTCATGCTAAAAAGCAACACATATTTGTTCTCACATCATTAAACAAAATTATATTCTTGATTATCTAGAATGACAATCAGATGTGTTTGAATGATAATCTTTTATAGTCTCTATCACATCATAGTATGAAGCAAAAATGAAAAATAAAATATTACCTACCACTTCCTTTTAATTTCCTTTAATTAAAAACACCTCAATTTCATACCTTACAGCTCATAAGTCGTGTAAATTATTCAGTGACATGGCTTGTGATGTTTGGAATTTTTTTTTGATATTGAGCAGTTTTAAAAAAAATGTCCGAGCCATGACATTTTGCAACATGATAAATATCCCACAAATACAGCGAGCCAAAAACCAGAAAACTGAGTGAACTGGTTAATTTGTTTCTGTAAACTTAAAGAGTAATAGATTGTAACCTCTTTATAAGTAATGTAAATCAGATTTCTCTAGAGAAACGTAGACACGATGCATACATTTTTCTGACAAGATATAATGGAAGCAGTCTCTAGAACAAATATAACACACGCACAAGCACCATGGCTAATGATGACGAAATAAAAATCACAGTTTGGACTAAACTTCTCTGTATCGGAGAAGTAGACCAGCAATCAGTTTATTTCTTTGGCAACACAGATGTCAACATGATTTAGGTTTTCCATGATCTTCCTGTACTGGCCACTCGCTTATCACGGACATCACAGAAAGAATGGAGAATTCTAACTAAATGTTATTGCACATATAAACATAGAGCTGACAAGGTTCCTCGGGATACCCTAGCAAACTGTTCAGGTTTTTTCTCCTCCACAGAAAACCGATTTGCTTGAAGTAATTCACAACGCTATGATTCACTTTGTCTCTACGTTGCATAGTGGTCAAATGATCCCAGGTACTCAAAGGCAGCTCTATAGCAAAACTGATATTGGTCCTAAAAGAAGAAGCAGAAAAATTATATGTACTGAAGAGAACTGGATAACATTGTCTTGTAAGATTAAAATTTCTTGGTTATACAATGTATACTGATTTACTGGGATTATATTATGCTGGTTTGAATTTCAGTTCACTTTCAATGAACAATGTCATCATGAACATTGAGGACTTAACGATGTTGTATGTATGTATTAAATATATGGCATGAGAATTTCATTGACTATTCCAGCATAAATCTTAATAGGGAAATATCTGATTCATTTAAACTTTGATTTGGATGTTAAAATCTCTTAGTATCTCAATATTTCAATTCCTTAGATATCCCTAAAATTTACCATCCCAGAGAGTTTTAAATTATTGAATTTAACTGTACTCATTTAGGAAGAGGGACATCTGTTGTTTACATACCTCTGTTTGCACCATGGCCGGTCGTTGCGTTCGCAGCATCTTGACGGTTTGAAACATGTCAACAACTCCCTCATACCTCATTCTCTCAAGCACTATACTGAGCGTGATGAACACCCCGGTCCGACCCACTCCCGCACTGAAAAAATTATAAACAATTCAAAATTGTGTTCTAGATCCAGTGGAATTTCAATGTTTATTTCATGACCATTGGGTACATATACTGTAGAAGTATTTTTTCTGTGTGGTATTAATTCACCTTAAGTACGTTGTCACAAATTTTCCGCGGAAAATTGTCCAAGGGTACTTAATATAAATGTAAGGCATATAGTGACAGTCTAAGAAATACGCGTAATTTTCTACATGCGGATTAAACAGAAATTGAGATTCCGCGGAATTATGACCCCATGGAAAAAAGTACGTCTACAGTATTACAGATGTAAATTCAAGCACTTGCGTAGAAAGTAAATGGATTTTCCCAAGTTGTTTGAATTCAGTCTTAATTTTTTGGCAGCCTTCACCTGGATGGTCTGAATGATTGTTAATTATGGATGATCTGAATGATTGTTAATTACGGATGATCTGAATGATTGTTAATTACGGATGATCTGAATGATTGTTAATTACGGATGATCTGAATGATTGTTAATTACGGATGATCTGAATGATTGTTAATTACGGATGATCTGACTGATTGTTAATTACGGATGATCTGAGTGATTGTTAATTACGGATGATCTGAGTGATGAAATGATGAAATGATGTTCGAAATAATAATTAAATGATATTGTTATGCAATTATTACATGTATATTGTATAGCCTGTACAAATCTTATGTATGAATATTGTTTACCTATGAGATGTAATGTCTCCGGTTCAAATAAAATACTGAAAATACTGAGTGATTGTTAATTACAGATGATCTGAATGATTGTTAATTACAGATGATCTGAATGATTGTTAATTACGGATGATCTGAATGATTGTTAATTACTCATGATTTGAATGATTGTTAATTACGGATGATCTGAATGATTGTTAATTACTCATGATCTGAATGATTGTTAATTACCTGCAATGGACAGTGATGGGTCCCTCTTGGCCGAACTGTTCCTTTGTTTTGTGAACTTGACCAATGAAATCAATGAATCCATCCCCGGACTTGGGAACACCTTGTTCTGGCCAATCGGTGAACTGGAACTGACGGATAGTTCGGGACTGTCCATCCTGTTAACAAAATGTTAATATCAGACATCTAGTCCATTATAAATCAATACGATGATGAAGAACACATCATAAAATTATAAATAATAATTTTTCCTCCTTAAAGCCCCATTCATAGTGGCAAAGTTTACTTGGATAATATTTTTATTCAAAATAATTCTTCTACTTTCCCTATAAACTGAATATCAGTTACAAAACAAAATCCTTTTGAAAATCATTTTATTACACTTACCCTTGCATCTGTGACTTTAAACTCCCTCAGAATATACTGAGGCATATTATACTCTGCCATGGGATCAACGACAAAATACTGATATCGAGCGGACCTCTCACTGGGCCAGTATTGGTGGCATTTCTCCTGGTAAACGAAGAAAAAAAAAACCAGAGGATTATTAAATCAAGTCACATTTTACTGCCATCATCATAAATCAAAAACTTCCATATGTACAATTCTAGCAGAGAAAAAAAATATCTTGCATCTTGTAGCTGATAATGCTCAGGAAATTTCTTTGGCATTGTTTAGAAATGTGTGGATGTTATAAATTTCTTTGGAATTATTTATAGATGTGTGGGTGTTATATATGCACTTACTCTGCCCATTTCTCTAAGTTTTGTGAGCATGACTATGATTGTAGAGTTGTGTTCCCAAAGCATTCTCCAGAAATCCTCAGTGGTCTCGGCCAGACATCCTTGTGTGGCTATGTAGGCCTGGCGATATTTGTAGCCCTGAAGTGACACAGAAATGGAGTCAGGAACTAATCAAACTCAAGAGGTTAGGTGCTTATGCTTTCAAATTTACATTATATTTACTTTTTTAAAAAGACATAGGTGTTGATAATAAAAAAACTTACATCTATGAAGCTTGCATTGATATAGTCTGAGCCATCCACTCCCCGAATAGGTTGTAATGCTACTCTTGTGGATTCAACTGAAGAGAAAACAGATAGAGTATTAGATTTTTTTTCAACATAAAACATTTCTTAATTTCATAGCGTACAAAAAACACTGCTTCTGATACTTACAAGGTAATATATTAACAAGTCTGTTTTTGAATTTATTCACAGGAAGATTTGCACTAACAAAACGATTGGGACTGGCCTTCATATTTGCTAATCTCTGCAAGAACAAAACACAAACAATTAAAAATACAACTGAGCACAAATACCATTTATTAAAACAAAGAGTGACTGAATGTCTACTACATTATTAAGAGAAACACATGTAGACCGAGGACTTGCCTTGAATTCTAACTCCATTCCTGTGACCGTCTCCCCTGGTTCCGGCTGCATCAGTTTCTGAATGTGAACTGACAGATTGCGGGCAGGAACCTCCGTATTTCCGCACGTTACAGCCTCAAGGAGAGCATCATGAATGAAGATGTACTGGTCCTCTGTCTGAACCATATAGTTACGCTGAGCTCGTAAACAGGTCACATGACCATAAATGTCCACTGTCTTTTCATGTTTAATGCGTTCCAGCATGGCATCAATGACAATAAAAGCACCTGTGCGTCCAACCCCAGCACTAACAAGGAAAGGATTTAACATTGAACAGTAAAACAAAAAATACACTAACCAGAAGTCTCTGTCGAGACTGTAGCTCTACTGGTTTGTACTTATCAAAAACCATTGCACTATTTTATGTATCTTTGTGCAGTCTGATTGTGTGCCAACTTATTTTATAATCAAACTATAACTGTAGAAGGAGTAGTGTTTTAAAGGAATTTCACAGAAAATTCTATTTTTAGTAACCATGATAACACCGTTCATCAAAATCAAAAACCGATGCACTATTCTATGTATCTTAGTGTAGTCTACTTGTGTGCCAAGTTATATTGAAATCAGACCAAAACTGTAGAAGGAGTAGCAATTAAAATGAATTTCACAGAAAATTCAATTTTTAGTAACCATGGCAACACCGTTCATCGAAATCAAAAATCTATGCATTATTCTGTGCATCTTAGTGTAATCTACTTGTGTGCCAAGTTATATTGAAATCAGACCAAAACTGTAGAAGGAGTAGCGTTTTAAAGGAATTTCACAAAAAATTCTATTTTTAGTAACCATGGCAACACTGTTCATCGAAATCAAAAACCGATGCACTATTCTATGTATCTTAGTGTAGTCTACTTGTGTGCCAAGTTATATTGAAATCAGACCAAAACTGTAGAAGGAGTAGCGTTTTAAAGGAATTTCACAGAAAATTCTATTTTTAGTAACCATGGCAACACCGTTCATTGAAATCAAAACCCATGCACTATTCTATGTATCTTAGTGTAGTCTAATTGTGTGCCAAGTTATATTGAAATCAGACCAGAACTGTAGAAGGAGTAGCGTTTTAAAGGAATTTCACAGAAAATTCTATTTTTAGTAACCATGGCAACACCGTTCATCGAAATCAAAAACCGATGCACTATTCTATGTATCTTAGTGTAGTCTACTTGTGTGCCAAGTTATATTGAAATCAGACCAAAACTGTAGGAGGAGTAGCGTTTTGAAAAATTGTTTACAGACAGACGGACAGACAGACAGACAGACAGACAGACAGACGGACGGACGCCGGACGCATTACTATCGCATAAGCTCTTCTGGTCTCTGACCAGTAGAGCTAAAAATTAAGTGCAAATTTATGTTTATTTTTTAGCAATTTATGTGCATGACCTGCTTCACAATTTTTTTTTTTAAATTGTATTGAAATTAATTATTTCAAACATCTTTGATTTACTATGAAGCCTTTTGTTTCTGTGTCAACTCTTGGATAAGAACAGGTGAATTCCCTGCGTACCTGCAGTGAACGATTAAGGGTCCAGCATCAGGGGGGTTACTGGCCTTCACTCTCCTCATGAACATCAGGAGGGGGGTGGGGTGATCAGGGACACCGTGGTCTGGCCAGGCGGTGAACTGGAACTGTCTCACTTCACGCTTCTCTGGATACCCATACTGAAAATAGCAATAATGTACATGTATAGCACTGTAATCAATATCCTTCCGTCATACATGTGTATACTTTTGACAGTGTAAAGTGCATTCAGTTTCCTACTACATGTAATTTGAAACCATTCTAATATTACATGTATGTCTAGTTACAAGAAAGAACCAGAAGTCTCTGTCGAGACTGAAGCTCTACTGGTTTGAACTTATAGCAAAGGAAGAGAAAAGTACTTAAGCAGCTGGGATTTGAAACTTTACAGCAGCAATAAATAGAATAATGATCGTTGATAAAGTCTCTTTATGTTCTTAGTGTAGTCTACTTGTGTGCCAAGTTATATTGAAATCAGACCAAAACTGTAGGAGGAGTAGCATTTTGAAACAATTTTACAGATATTTCTATTTTTAGTAACCACGGCAACACCGTTCATCGAAATCAAAAACCGATAAACAGATTTATGTATTTTAGTGTAGTCTACTTGTGTGCCAAGTTATATTGAAATCCGACCAAAACTGTAGGAGGAGTAGCATTTTGAAACAATTTTACAGATATTTCTATTTTTAGTAACCACGGCAACACCGTTCATCGAAATCAAAAACCGATATACAGATTTATGTATTTTAGTGTAGTCTACTTGTGTGCCAAGTTATACTGAAATCAGACCAAAACTGTAGGAGGAGTAGCATTTTGAAACAATTTCACAGAAATTTCTATTTTTAGTAACCACGGCAACACCGTTCATCGAAATCAAAAACTGATACACAGAATTATGTATCTTAGTGCATTCTACTTGTGTGCCAAGTTATACTGAAATCAGACCAAAACTGTAGGAGGAGTAGCATTTTGAAAGAATTTCACAGAAATTTCTATTTTTAGTAACCACGGCAACACCGTTCATCGAAATCAAAAACCGATATACAGAATTATGTATCTTAGTGTATTCTACTTGTGAGCCAAGATATACTGAAATCAGACCAAAACTGTAGGAGGAGTAGCATTTTGAAAGAATTTCACAGAAATTTCTATTTTTAGTAACCACGGCAATGCCGTTCAATGAAATCAAAAACCGATACACAGAATTATGTATCTTAGTGTAGTCTACTTGTGTGCCAAGTTATATTGAAATTAGACCAAAACTGTAGGAGGAGTAGCATTTTGAAAAATTGTTTACAGACAGACGGACAGCATTTTGAAAAATTGTTTACAGACAGACGGACGGACGCCGGACGCATTACTATCGCATAAGCTCTTCTGGTCTCTGACCAGTAGAGCTAAAAACCACATTTGCTAGACTTTAGAATTATAGCTCATTTTCAAAATTTCAGTTAGCACTGTTCCAGTAAAAAGTCCTTTTGTTCTGATGCCTAACACTTGATTAGCGTTTCCTACCCTGGATATATGGAAGGTCCTGATGGTGTAAGTAGACAGTTCTGTGACGTCCACGAGGAGAACCTGCATCACTCCGTACGTCTCAGCTCCACGGTGTGGCCAGTACTGGTCACACTTAATCTGTATAAAGAAAAAAAACAACAGTATAATCATGTTACAACCAAGTCTGGATTCTGTTTGATGTTGAAAGTTTCACTTGTAAATATTTATATTGTTGTCCAGACGTATTCTTGATAAAATTTTGTTTCTTTGTTGTATTTATCAATAATATCAATCAAGCTCATGCAAGTACTTTATTTCAGTATTAGATTTTTATTGAAATATTTTCTGACAATTAAAGTTGAAGTTCAGAAAAGTACTATACACCATTGACAAATGAAACTGTATATGTTAACAATTCAACTTATACAAGACGACCCCTTACCCTGGACCTTTCTTCTAGACGGGTCATCATGACAATAGTTCCAGTCCTTTGTTCCCAAACCATCCTCCAGAAATCTCCAAAGGTCTCTGGCAATGGACCCTATAACAAGGTATATATCAATTATATCCTTCTGAAAACGACCAAGACTTTTAAATAAATAAATATTGAATTGTAATAATTTACACTGAAAACGTGCAATCACATAAAATTATTGTCAGAGATTCTGCATATATCTAAAACAATTGCAAAATACACTGTACTGATCATTTCCATAATTGTTTTGAGCCCTGATTTTTATTCTTACCTGTGTTGCAATGTATGCATTCTGTTTCCTGTACCCATCCATGTAATTTGCATTGATGTAATCACTACCAGGAATACCATTTTCAGGTTGTAGTATGACACGAGAATGGTCGTAGGCGATTACGTTGGCGTACCGGTTTTTGGGCTTATTAATCTCATAGTTGGACTGGTCCCATGTGAACTGCTGTCCTGGTTCTATGGACTCGTACTCCTGTGAGAACTTGTGATTATCGTTAGCCTTTAGATTGTCTATGTGCTCCTGTAGCATATGAATGGGAATGGGCGGGTGACTGATCATACCTGTGTTAAAAAAAAAGTGCAAAAATCATTTGTGGGAATAAATTTTAGTACATTTACTGGTCAACAATCTTGTACAGTGAAACTTGTATAATCCGGGCACCAATGGTTCCAAATAACTTGCTCAGATTAGACAAACTTCCCTTTTAAACGATTGAATTTTTTTTTAGAAAAGGATTTAAAGTTTACACCATACTAGGCAAGTTTTTTTTGGAACAGCATCCAGGTTATACCAGTTTCACTGTACTTTAATACAAAACCATAGTCAAGGGAATGAAATTCATGATAAATGCATGTGACCTGTGTCCAATATCAAGGGTAAAAATGTACAAGCATTACTCCTACAAAACCATAAGTGATTGTGGTACCTGGTGTCTGGTAGTGCTGGCGCCGTAGCTCCACCGGATCACAAGGATGAGAAGGAACATCCACGATCACTTTACCAGGATACGGCTCCGGACTCTTGGATTTCCTGTTAGATTTCCTCCTGCAAGTGTAAGGTATACAAAATATATATTTCTCTGTAAAATACAACCCACGTTATTTTAGCTTTTCCTTTAAAAAGCAAGTTCAGTTACTCATAAAGCCCTCCATATTCTTTTCACTTTTTAACATAACATCTTAATACGTTAGTAGATTGTTCACTAAATTAATATATCATTACAATTTCCATTTCAAAGGCTTGAGAAATCTGGCTTTCAACTAAAGTGCAGCTGCAGACAGCAACAAATTTACATTGAAATTTTCTTTTAATTGACCAAATAAAAAATTTTGATTAATGCAAGTTACACCCATTTTCATAACACACGTTTAAATGTATTCAAATAGTTCAGATTCAAAGTAAAATGAAAATTTCCTATTCAGATAGAAAAAAAATATACAAGTATGTATCTGATATGAATTCATAAATCTTGATTTTCTTAATTTTTTCCCCCTCTGAAATTACAATAAAATTTGCAACCATACTCTATATATAACTCAATTTAGCTGAAATTAAACAGAGTATTTGGACAATATCAAAAATGAAAACTAAATATACCAAAATGGACAACAAAGAGTGACCACCTTAAATCTGAATTTATCATAACTGAAACAAAAGACAAAATGTTTGGAAGCATCAAAAGAATTTTTCATGGAATCAAAGTCATACTGAAATAATATCAAGCACAGCCTTGGACTAGAAATATAAGAAAGTGAACTCAAAATCAAACACCCGAAACCTACAAAATCATATAAATCGACAAGAAGATCCAAAACTTTCAGTTAACTTCCCAACAACGTGTATTCTGCACAAATTTACAGTTTCTTTTGCTTTTCAAGTGCACACAAGTTGGAGAAGTTGTGCAAGACAAGAGCCTGACAGAAAAAAATAGTGGAAAGAGAAAATAATAAACATAAGCAGTACAACGTCATCTCTAGAAGTCACAACATCAATGGACCAGTTTGTCCTTGCATCGGACTACTGACCTCGCCAACCAGATCAAAAAGATTACAAAACACACTAGGACAAGCCCTGCGCACACCGATCCCCCCACCACAATCAGATAGTTGGGATTAGTGGGTGCGTCCTGGGGGGACATTGTATCCATAATCTGATAAGGGTTTCCGCCATGTCCTCCTTTAAATTCATCCGAATATATACTAGACGTGCAGAGATCCTGTTAAAGCAAAGAAAATGGCAAATGTAAGTAAAACTCGGCATACTTTAAAATAAACATACCTCATGTACCAGACCACCAATATACAGACGATGATAATGAAGGCAACGCCAGCACACACGGGAGCTACAATCATTATTATCATGACGCTTTTAGAGCTTGCGACACTTTCTTTCCCTATCGTAGGGTCGTCTTCTTTGGCACTAGGAGAGCCTTCATTGGGAACAAGGTATGAACCTTTGGGATGCACGCGCAAATACGCAGAATAATCACTGGATTTGTACAACGTCTGGAAAATAAACAATCATGGGTGATTTTATTCTAAAAAGTATTTATTCTGGTTTTAACACAAGCTCTGACTTGAATACAGAAATGATTAAAACTTCAGTTTTTTTTTCTTTTTTTGAAGAAACAAAACAAAACAAAACAAAAGAATTTCAAGATTTCTTGATCAAGATTATACCCACCAGTCATCCTGAACACATTTTGTGACCTTGAGATTAATTTGCTAAGAGACATATCCCTGGTGGTATGTATATTAAAAAAATTTTCGCTTAAATTTGTCTATATATAATTGAACATAACATTTCAAGCATTAAACTCTCCTAAGTGTTTTGAAACCGAATTCTGAACTTTCTTTTTCACCAAAGAAAATAAATAAATTAATGTATGTTTATGAAATTAATTTAATAAATTTGTGGCAATTCAATAAATACTTCTTTATTAATATCTGGTCTGTTATATTCTGTAAGAATTTTGTAATTTTATTATTTTAAAATTTGACTTCTGGAATAGAAAATCACTTCACTATATAAATGCATTTGTTATACATAATTCTTTTCAGTACTGTACTGACTGTTTGGTGCTAAAATATCAATCAATAAATAAATAAAATTGTTCCAACTTCAACTGTCCAATCTTTCAACTCCCCATCAATATTCAGTTTACTACAGATTTTCAAGAAAAATAGATGTTTGTTCATAGTTACCTCACCAACCCTATTCTTTTGCTGTGATCCAAATATTATTTTTTTAGTCATTAAATCTATGGCATGTCTGTACATTTTCCTCTAAACATAATGAGTTATAGGTCACTTTATAGCAGCATTTTTAGAGCTGTCTCTGTTTTTTAATCAGCATGTAATAGTACACAGACATTTTATTCCTATGATCTATCATACCATTTCCACTGTGTAGGCACGCAGGAAGACTCTATAGGTATTGTCCACCTCTAGTGGTCTGTTGGTGAAGCCTCCGTATTCCACGCCGTCACCCAAAGTAAACTCCTCTGGAAGCTGATCGGCCTTGAACTTGGCTGCGATGTACACATTTCTGGCAGGATAGCTCGATGGCATGGTGTCCGCATAAAACTACAATTGAAAATAATGATCGAATTACAGATAAGCAAAAAAATAAAGTTCAATAGTGCCTTGTTGTCCTTTGATAAATCCCTAAATGTCAAAACAAATCAGTATTAAATGGTCATACATGTACTACAGAACAAGTATAGATAGAAACTTTAATTTGTAAAAATAATCGTGAATTAAGATAATTCTAATGATGAGAGTTTCTTTAATAATCATCAATACATATAAAACAGGCTTATAGTAAACATGCTTATAATCTAATGAACTGGTGCTTATAGCTAATTGTGATTTTTATTCCTCTTGACTTTAAACATGTATTGTAAACTTAACAGATAAAGCATATTATGCTTTTTATGAAGCAAATCCTCCATTCCTAGCACTTCATTATAAGCCTGCTTTACTGTACTTTTTAAATTTGACCTTGACCTAGTAAGGTCACAATTACAGTGACGTTAACTGAAATCCAATCCACATTAAAGGGTTGTTGAAATAAGTTTTTTATGAAACAGGTGTACAAAATGACTACAAATCACATACATGTAAAAGTGTACTCGACAATGGTTACTTTACATGAAATCATAAACAATGGAACATGCTACATATAATTCTGGAGACTTTAGCATTTGTGACAACTTTGATAAATGTCTTTAAAATAAAATAATTCTTTTTTTCTGGGTAAACAATTTTTGCTCACATTAATAACCTTTTTGAGCATTTTTTTTTTTATCCAAGGTAAAAATTGCTTCCACAGAATAAATTTTATTAATTTCTTTTTGTCAAACAATTTTAACAAATATAGACAACACATATTGAATACACTGTAGGATAGACAACAGGGTCAGCCTAATACCAGCAATAGATGCTATCAGAGCATCATTTGTATTTACCGTTTTAGTTGTGGTGTTCAACTTCAACCCTATCTGTTGTACGCATGCAATGAAAAAATACGATCATGATTTCCATTAATTTTACACGATAAATGAATGAATTAAGTATTAAAAATAAAGATCCGTTAGGTTTTGTTTTTAAAAGCTTGCCTTTAAACAAAGAAATTATTTTCCAAATATCAACAAACCTCTGACTCTTTGAAATCTTGTGGATTCTTTTGTGTTGCGATATTCTGCGGTACCACAACTAAGTAGTAGTAACTTAAATCACCGTTTTCCTCACTGGCTTTATCAAATGTTAAAATCACCGAGTTTTTTCTGTAACCTTTGACCTGGGGTTGAGGAACTTGGTTTGGAGCTATAAAATAAAAATAAAAAAAATGATTAAACAAAAGCAATGGTAGTTCAAGAACAAAGCAATATTGTTTGGTAAAATGGGAATGTTTCACAAAACACTTTTTAAGCATTTTTACATATGTTTGAAGTACAGTAAGACAGGTTTATAGCGAATGTTTTTATAATGAATGTTTCCTTACAGCAAAGTGATTTTTATGCTCCATATTTTTGAAATATATTGTGAACTTAACATGTATTGCGAATTACGCTTATAACGAAGCAAAATTGCCTGTCCCTGGCGCTGTGTTATAACCGTCTTTTACTGTACAGATAAAAAGAAACACAGAAAAACTTACCAAGGAGTCGCGTGTAGGCCCTCACCATCTGTGGGCGGCCAGTGGAGCCATCACGGAACTTAGCGGTGATATTGAATGTATAGAAAGTTTTGGGTTGGAGATTGTTCACTGTATAACTTTTCTGGTTTCCTGGAATCTCAATAGGTTTGGACTGGAATTCTCTTGGTGGTAACAGCTGACCTTTTCGTCTTCTTGACTGAACTCCTCTATACTTCAACTGAAAAACAATGGAAATTTATCATTGTCCTTGAAAGTGTCAGGGATAATTCATAAAAGATAAATTTAGATATGTATCTCTTACTTTGTAATAGACAACAAAATTTTCAGGGGGATCCCAGCTTAAATGAACCTCTGTGGCTGTTCTTAAAGTGACCTGGAAATTTTTCACCTGGTCATCCCCCACATCTGTAGGAAATGACAAACAAAAGGATAGCAATATATACAGCACAGTTATCTTATTGAGAGAAAATAATTCTTAGGCATGCATATATTTTACAGACTTTGTTGCAAACACATTGGATTTGCTCTGCTGACTTTATAGTTTAGTTTTAAAAAGAAGTCAGTTCTTTATATATAAAAAAAAATAATCAATGGAATCTCATAGAAGGACAAAAGATAAACATTTATAAAGCAAAGTCAAGATTTTTTTAAATATCATGAAAATTTGAACAATGGAATTACACTTACAAGGAGAAACGAAAGAGTCAACAACAGATTCCGTCATATTTCCAAATCTTCCATCCACAGACTTGGCCTGGACTCGAATGACATACGTGGCCTTGTCTTCTGGGATGTCGATGTCCGCTATAGTGTAGGGACCGATGTCTATCTTGGACCAGTCTTCCATGTTATTACTCTCATAATCATTGTAATAAACCCGATACCCGGCCACGGCCATCTTAGGCTCGTCCCATGTCACCTCTATCTTGTGTCGACTCTTACGACGGGTGCGGACATTCTGTGGCTTGTCTGGCACTGAAATACAGGTGGATGTTTTAGTTAAATACAGGTATCTTTGATGCATTCAAAACTTAAAATGTAAAATACCTATGATCATTTGAGTTCACTGAAATGATTAACTAAGAGACAAATTGAGAAGATTTTAATTTTTTGCAAACAATGCTGTTTTTAGACACAAATAAATATCTTTTTTGTCTTAATTGCATTTTTTACTTTTGTAAAGGCAGATAAATTAAATTCTACAAAAAATAATCTGTGTGCAATAAATTCTAACCATACAAGATTTAATTAGCAAACAGAAATAATATAATTGAATTTGTCGATTTTGGCAATTGAAATATTACTTCTTCCAAATGTATGGTGCATATATTTAGGGCTCCAGGGTCCGGGTCCTCTGCTGGTAAAGGCTCGGATCTGGAAGACATAGTCGGTGTTCATCTCCAGCCCCTTCACCTCATACTGTAGCCCCGTGATGTTAAGATCCTCAGCATTGATGGAATCCGCCATTTTGTGGTACATCAGTTGGTACATGACAATCTCTCCATTCTGCAGGTGCTTGGCTGGTAGGTCCCACTCCAGTATCACACTGGTTTCTGTCAAACTCTCGGCTGAAAAATTCTGTGGGGCTCCTGCTGGGACTGAAATTTGACAGAATGAACATTAACAAAAGAGATCTCTTTATAAATAGATGAAGAAACCAGAAGTATCTAAGGAGACTGTAGCTCTACTGGAGAGCACTTCTCATTTTAGTTTAGTTGTGTACCAAGTCTTCAAATTGGAACAAAAACTCTAGAAGGACTGGCATTTTGATGGAATATAACACAGCTATTTTCAATAACCATGGCAACACATGTCTCTTGACCAGTAGAGCTAAAATTCTTATTATGAACTCCAGAGTAAGATATTCTATGTAAACAATGTACAGGCACTTTACATTAAAACTTTAAGATTCATTATGGACAATTAAAAGCAAACAAGAGGCCCACGGGCCTCATAGGTCACCTGAGTATTGTGTAAAAACTTTCAAACACTTGAATTTGGTTTAAACCAGAGGCCATGAAATTCACAATTCACAATTTTGAAAGAGGCACCATTGCTTATCATAATTATTAACTTAGCATGCTTACTCTATTTACTTAATACCAAGAGGTAGATCAGAGTAACAAAGAGAAAATGCACTTCCACTTTATGCCCAGTTGTGCACCTCACCCCAAAGGAACCACTGACCCAGGGGCCACATATTTCAAAATTTTGCAAATTTTAAAACAAAACGGTTGATTAATACCAAAGAGGAGATTTAAAAGCATTAATTTATTTTCAGACTATGTAGCCCCCCCCCATCCTCTGACCAAGGGGGCATAAAATTCACAATTTTACAGGAGGCACTCTTGCTCATCATAACTATGTGCTTATTTAGTTTATTTAATACCCAGAAGCAGAGAAGAAGATTTTCAAAGAATAAATGCATTTTCAGTATATGATCAATAGAGCCCCACCCTAACACCAGAACCCCTAACCCTGGGGCCATAAAATTCACAAATCTGGAAGAGGCACTCTTGCTCATCATAACTATGTGCTTAGTTAGTTTATCATAACTATGTGCTTAGTTAGTTTATTTAATACTCAGAAGCAGAGAAGAAGAATTTCAAAGAATAAATGCATTTCACTATATAATCAATAGAGCCCCGCCCTAACACCAGAACCCCTGACCCTGGGGCCATAAAATTCACAATTTTGGAAAAGGCACTCTTGCTCATCATAACTATGTGCTTAGTTAGTTTATTTAATACCCAGAAGCAGAGAAGAAGATTTTCAAAGAATAAATGCATTTTCACTATATAATCAAAAGAGCCCCACCCTAACACCAGAACCCCTGACCCTGGGGCCATAAAATTCACAAATCTGGAAGAGGCACTCTTGCTCATCATAACTATGTACTTAGTTAGTTTATTTAATACCCAGGAGCAGAGAAGAAGATTTTAAAAGAAATAATGCATTTTCACTATATAATCTATATAGCCCCACCCTAGAACTAGAACCCTTGACCCACAATTTTGGTAGAGGACTCAATGCTCATTACATTCATGTCAACAGTTTGCCTGCTTGATGTCCAGGAGTAAAGAAGAAGATTTTTAAAGATTGCACTAATTTTAGTGGTTTTGGCCCCATCCCTCAGGCCTCAGGGGGGCGGGGACCATGAAATTCACAATTTTTGTTCCCCTTCACCCATAGATGCTGTATACCAAATTTGGTTGAAATTCGTTCCGTGGTTTCAGAGAAGAAGCTGAAAATGTTCAAATGTTAACACACGACACACGACGGACGAAAACGGATAGCAATAGGTCACCTGAGTTACTCAAAAGAACAACATACTTCCATCAGGGGTAATTATTACAGCTGATGCTCTCTCGCCAAGTCCAACTTCATTTTTAGCCTTCACTCTAAATTCATATGTAGCCCCCTTATCTGAAATAAATAGGAACTTCAACAACATGCAAAAAAAAGTAGAAACAAAGATATAAATATTTCCAATGGTAAACATATAACATGTAATTTTTTCCGTATACATGTATTTCCTAATATTTACATTTCCAACGTCTTTGTGTGAGATAAAATTACAAATAGTCAATGTACTTTATTTCTCCATCAGTGTACTAGTTCATTGATAGGCGCAGTTAAAAATATCACTTGCAGGGTGGGACAAATAGAGACAAGAAGTGTAGCTTCTAGCACCCACATGGATTGGCGGAATCAATACCATGTAATAATAAGGAAACTGTCAGATTTTTCAATTTCATGACGATGATCAATCGATTGGCTTCCATGATAATTTTATGCATAAATGCCTTCGGTGTTTATGCAAATTATCATGCAAGCCAATAGATTGATCACATCATGAAATCGAAAAATAAGACAGTTAAACCTTAAGTAACTCTAGGTTTATTTCTTTTATTTACAGACCTAGGATATCAGAGATGTAGCTCTGTCTCATGGCTGGGAGGTTCAGCATTTGGTAGGACTCGCCCTTGCGGCCCCAGATCACCTGGTACCCCATCAGTTCCCCGTGGACGTCCTTGGGAATCTTCCAGGTCACATGAACTTGTGGGCGTTCCTCATCCAACAGGACTGCATTCAGATCCCTCGGAGGCGTGGGCACTATAAAAAAGCGCCTCTCATTAAATTTTCATTCACATGAAGATATATGTACATTCTTGAGATTTATATTTCCTGTTTATATGTGTAATTAGTATTCTCTTTCATACAAAATCTATATCAGTCTGTAACTATCCTATTAAGAATTTCAAAGCACTCTTCTATGAAGAAACTCTCTGTGATATTTCCATTTAACTAAACATTACATTTCTGAATCCAATAACTTTCCTTCTTCGGGATAAAAACAGCATGACAAGTTATGCAATATTAATTGTTTTCCTTCTTTATGTGGGAGACATTGAGCATGTAATATCTCTATCTCATCTAAAATTGAAAAGTTCAATACGGAAACATAAACAATTTAGTTCTCTGGTGTAACAAGTCATCACATTTGATCAATTCCCCAAGTTTTCATCATATCCATAAACTGCTAAACTCCACCCCCACCCATAATCTCTTTATAAACTGGTCCCTATCAGTCTTGCCAGGGAAGCAGACTTCAGAAAGTCTATATCTTAACAGGGAATGCTGTTTGATACACTCCTTGCTGAAGAACTTACCAGCCCCTTTTGTATTGACAATCTTCTTTTTGCTGCGTTTTCCATCTCCCCTCCTTGTGTACCCTGCTACCTGCACGGAATACTGGGTGTCAGCCTTCAGGTTCGTGATGACAGCTTCGTTCCTGTTTCCGTCGTGTGTATCGTGTACCAGCTCCTGTCCCACCATTTCATCTTTGTCGTTGGTCTCGTAGTAGTAGACGTAATATCCGCGGATAATTCCGTTACTACCTCTGCCCTCTGGTGGCCGCCAGTCCACAAACATGGCCGTCGAGTTAATGGCTTCGGCCGTCACCTTTGTAGGCTCATCAGGCACTATAAAATTGGGTTTTCAATTCATTCACATCATCACATAAAAGATACGACTCACAGCAAAACTTAAGTATGTAGGTCTTACATAATATATGGTTAATGAAAATTAATGATAAAACATGCCTCTAATTAATGTTATCTTTAGAAAGGTGCATTTTGACTAAAGAAAAGATTTTTTTTTCATTATGCTAAAGTTTAAGTATATAAAATTCTAAATTGAAAAAGAATTTTTTTTCCTTCTAGTTTATGCAGTGAAAAGATCACAACACTATGATCATCTGCAGTCAACGTAAGCATTCTCGTTCTCATACAACACACAGATTTCATTACAATCTTTAGTAACATTCAAACTTTCAAATGCAAAGTCTTTTCCTTCCAGACTGAAGCTGTGTTCATGCTTCGAGTTTTATTTTCACTTTCTAACCCTTGTGTGTTTTTCTTATCATTTAGATTTAAGATTGCCTTGGTTTTTGTGTGGTGAATAGATGTGGCATTGTGCCTTTCTCATGTCAATGTTACACGTTTTGCCATCTGTGTAGAGAAAATGTTATCTTTTTTCTACCGCTTTTTTTTTTAAAAAGAATGTTATGGAAGATTTCCTTCAAATTATGTTGTACAAAGGTGCAGACCTCTTGTTTTTTATTAATTGATTAAGTCGTTCTAAAGATCCAACTCTGTACACATGTTGTAGTGATTAAATTTTCAATGAAAACTCATGATCTAAACTTAATGTCACTGTGATAAAATAATTGTATAGTTTTTTTAACATCAAAATCTGTCCACAGCTGTTATTTTCCTTTGTTTTGAGAGAGAGTAACTCAAAATTAGTTCCAGGTAGTTATAAAAGAAAATCTAAAATACATGCAACAACAACCATGCAGAAATTTCTAACATGAAGACCACATCAAATCTAGAGGGTATAAAAGACTTACCTATAGATATGGAAAGTACTAGCATTTCAGTTTGTGTATAGGGGAGAAAATCACTAACGTTCTGAAGTCAGTACAAGTTAATTCACTGTAAAACCAACACCCAGAGCAAAATAACTGGTTAATAATCTGGTTAACCCACAGCAAAATAACCAGTTAATAATCCGGTTAACCCAGAGCAACTGCGTAGACAGGTTATCAATGTCAGAGAGTGTTACATGTTATTTGTTCTGATTCAGACAGATCAACTTGATGAAAGGTTCTGTAGATGATCATGTTGAATATGAAAAAAATAATTAATATCGACTTGATGAAAGGTTCTGAGTATGATCATGTTGAATATGACAAAATATTTCATGATTATAAAACATGCTTATGACAAACTGAGCATGAAAACTTACATACAACTGACTGATGATAAAAAGATTTTTTTTATGAAGAAATATTTCCATTTCTAATTTTTCTCTCTTGATAACTCTTTGAAAATTAGCGGAGTTAATTTCTTGATTATTCTACCAGAATGTAAATTAGGCAAGTCAAAAGGTCAGGAGCTAAGGAGGCCTAATAGTCATGCAAACCTTGTGCGCATCTTTCTCTATGTCTGGCGCTAAGGAGGCCAAATATGCATGTAAATCTCATGCGGTTGCCTTTGCGTTTGACGTCAGCGGACGAGGACTATTGAAATTGGCATTGGAGTCTTCATGTAATTTAAATCTATGTCTACATTTCAAAGGTCTAAATCTACAATTTTATTTCACAATGAAATAGAAATATAAGGAATCTCCGCCCGTTATGCAAATTATCCAATGTTTCCCACTATCGTTGATGCCCTGGCATGCTATGATAACTAGACTGTGATTCCTTAAACGTTTTGCTTTTTTACAATAAAAGAAGTCAATCTCCTGATGATTCTTACGCTCTCTGATCATATCTTCGTAGAGCTCTAATTAATTAGTGTGTACAACTTTTGAGAAAACATCCCCCCACATCTCCCCATGTCAATCCCCTGTATAACATACAAAGACAAGTTAAGACATATGTTCCCCGTCTGTCTTTATATATCTTTTCACGATTGTAAACCAACAAAGAGCAGGTTTTCCACATCCTTCGTATGAAATAAACATATTGCATAATTTTACTGGTATTACTTTAACTGTTTTTGAGTTCAGAGAAACAAATTTTCTACACACTTTTCTGTGTTTGACAACTAAAAATATCCATGTTTCTGTTATTCTTTGTTCTTGAAAACAATTCAATGATGATGAAAATGGTGATAAGGATGCAGGATGCATGTAATGAGAAAAGAAATGGCTAACTGGAATGATGATAAAATTATGAAGAAAAAAATTCTATGATTGATTGTAATTTCAATAAACTTGATGAACGTGAAGCATATTTTCTGACCCTACAGTATTGAATCAATTTTAAGCAATGCAACTCTCTTTCAAAATAATGAATAAACCTAATAATAAATGTGCAATGACAAAACGATAAAAGCAACGATGTGAAAATGTGTGACATTCACTTCAGAAATGTGACTTTAGCTTTAGTAAAACCCAACTCACGATTTTACATTTGTACAAAACTTTTAATTTTAATTTAATTTATGAAACTAATGCTTTAGTCACATGTCTGTTGGAATTGGTTCTCATGACACTGACACAAATATCTGTAATGAAAATGTATGATGCAACCATGAAGTCTTAAAATCAGGCAGAACTTTTCTTTCTTGTATTATTAAAATCAATTGACACATTACTCTATTTCATTTTTCATTTTATTAGCAAATGTTCTGCATGATTTTTTTTAGTTCAAATGACACAGGGTCAATCTGTCTAAATCCAAACAGTTATTGAAACATAACACCATTGAGGAAAAAGGAAAAAAAAAATTAAACAACGGAGTCATCCATGATCCAAAGATCTAGGTCAATGCAAGACGATGTTTTTAAATCCACGGACAATACCTACCGTCCTCGTTGGTCCACACTCGGATAGGGGGTGAGCTGGGACCGTCTCCTACACTGGTGAAGGCCAGAACCCAGATCTTGTACTCGGTAAAGATCTCGAGTTTGCCCAACACTATCTCCTGATTCTCAGCCCCGACGGAGGAGCTGGTGGCGTCCTGATCGGTCTGACTGGGGTCATATTTCACATAAAATATCTTATAGCCTCGGATCTCCCCATTTTGTTGATCTTTGGGGGGAGGTTTCCACGTGACTTTGATACTCCTGGAGTCTTTGTAGGGCATTCCGCTAACAGCTTGAGGGGCGGCACTTGGCACTAGAGTGAAGTGGTGAGGGTTGGGGGGAAAAGAAAATGAGAATAAATAACACATATATAACAGAAAATAAATTGACATGCAAACACATGCAATGAATGAAATAAAAATAAAATTCAGAATAAAGTGCTGATTTTTCTATTTTTTGCATCATGGCACCATTTATTAGCATCCATTATATGCTGACATGCATGGTGATAATTGAGAGTTTATGCATTTGATGCAGCTTGTATGCTATTTTACTTTTTTCCATTGCCATCAAAATCAGGCATGCTCTCTATCAGTATTTATTGAGATTTGAGCCATGAGTCAAGCTTTTCAGTAAAACTACATAAAGCAATCAATAAATCAACTTTTAAGGTATTTGCATAATGGTATTAATGGATATAATTGTTCGTCTAAGCTTCAATTTTCAGCAGTGTGAAACTGAAAGGCAAAAATCACTTCAAATACCTATATAACTATTCTGAAATTAGAAATTCTACATTTTGAAAAATATCCTATGTATGGATGCTAATATGGACCCATAATACAAGAAAGTACTTTTTCGAAATAAAAAATTATCTGAATTTTCAGCTTAACAATCAAAATTATGACAAAATGGATACTTTATGATGGAAATGTGTTGATGGCTGAATTTTCACAACATTAAGATAAAAATATAGAAAGTATACACAAATAAAAGAAATGATGATATGTCAAAACATTTAAAGCCAAAAACTTAGATATTTGATGGAAAAAAATATAACAAAATGAAGGAAAAATATTTTGACCCAATTAGAACTTTCCAATAAAATTAATTTCCCAACCCCATGATTAATGCATGCATTACTTGAATACTGTATGATTGCATGAGTTTTATTCCATTTTAAAAATGTCAATTCAAAATCTATTTTTATTACATAACCTGACCTTTCATGTATTGTATAGTAATTTATAAACATTGGAAACTCTATTTCTATAGTTTTTTTTATATAGAAAAAATGACCTTGACCTAAAATTAAAATCCAAACTACTGTTTATAACCAAATACCCAATCCTCTAACAGAACTATCCCGTACACTTACCCAACATTTCATGGGCTATCCAGAAAATCATTAAAACAGTCATGAATTGCAATTTCAGTGATTGATGAAGAAACAATGTTCACAACAACATATAAAAACACACAAATATAAAGAAATTTTACTACTGGATCTCATTCAGTGAGTGACTAGGGGGGAATACCACAAGTGAACAATATATATAAAATACAAAAAAAAAAGAGAAAAAGTTTTTTCAACTGTAAACACTAAGGTTTTTTTCTTTCCCAAGTTCTGTGATATTGTACACAGATTTGACGATGAAATTCAGTAAGGTCGTGTATGAATACGAGTTATTTATAAACATACCGAATGGCAGTGTCTTGGCCTGGATTATCCGCGTGGCGGCACCTTCACCTTTATTGGAGATTGCGGAGACTTTGATGGTATACACAGTGTCGGGGGTCAGTTCCTCAAGTTGACACTTGGTCTCTGTGCCCTGGACTACCAAATGGCTCTCCTGCTTCAGGTAGGTATCATTGTAGTACACAAAGTATTTAGTAACCACGTTCCTGGTCTGACTCGGTGGGTCCCAGGATACATCTATTGTGTTAGGTCCTGTTACTTCCGCAAAAATGTTACGGGGCTGTGACGGGACTGAAAAGTAGAGTGGAAATATCAAACATGTGGCCTCATCTTTTTAAATTAATCAGCAATAAAATTTTTTTAAAAAATTTTCTTCTGCCTAAAATGAAACAAACATTACTTTACTACTAGCTGCATAAGAAATTGCCATCGCTAATCAAGTTGCAGCAAAGCTTTGGGAAGAGTATCGCTATTGCTGTCAAATTTGCAATTGCTTTGCAGCATTTTGGCTTTTTGAAATTTTATGCTTCGACCATTGAAAGTTGCATTGCAGCAATTTCTACATCTATAGTTTGGTTATGTGGCAGTGCTATCTAGTATTATATAAATTTCACAATGTACAATTTTCTAGCTAGCAGTTCTTTAAAAATCTGATCCGCTCACCATATTTTTTTTTTTCTCATGGAAACAAAAGATTTTTTAAAAACTCTTATCAATATTTAGGAATAACGCGAAATCATGCATGTGGATAAATTAATCCATTTATGTGCAATATCTTATCACTGTTCATGCAATAACTGCAAGTATGAAAGTTCTATCTACTGGTAACAATAAATATTCTATATTATTTCTAGATTTTTTCTTATAATTGTTTTTCTCTTGTTCTCAGCAATCAATTTTTCATTTTTTTTTTTTTTCTATTCTACTTCACACTCATTTTTTTTATCCATTGGTCTTATGTCATGGCAACCATTTATTCATTGAAAATAGTAGAATACAAGAGTAAGTTGAGAAAAAACTTAACATTAAGCAATATTTTTTAAAAAGAAAACTTATTGGTCATGAATTTGCAGACTGACTAAATTAAGTGGGGTGAAATAGCCATTAACAAATTGCACAATTTCTGTGAATCAAAAAATATGTATACACATTGGAAAGTATATGTGATTAAATGAAGCATGTTCATTTTTGCACACAATTTAATGTTTTTATTTGTTCTTCCAATCAATTTGAACTTTAGTATATCTCAAATAGTGATCTCAACTTAAATGGATTTCCTAACCTCTTTTTCTACATATGATTAACCTGTTTTTTCTAGTCACATTTAGTTTCTCAAGATTACAAAATTTGAATGTAAATAGAATTCTCTGGATTTAAAAAAAAATTGAAATTGAAAAAAAGTGATTCAACTCCAAATAATACAGCATATTTGCCAAGTTGGGTTCCTAGGCTTTAGTAATAAAACATCACATATTGAATGTAAATTAATTTCCTCTGAGTGTAGTGCTACATTCTTTCTCATTTGACCTTTGCTTCTGGTAATAATGATCTATTCATCATGCCAGTATCTCATGTTCAAATCCTCTCAGCATATGTTCTAATACTGTTTCCATTAGTGGATCATGTTTTGATCATCGGGAAAATATCCCGAAGAATCAAATTTACTGCTGTTTGCAATGCTCAGATACACATACAATGTGAATTAACCTAAAAAAAAGCATTAATGTCCTATTCAATAGATAACATGCGAGAGCTTCCATGACAGTGTTTCAAGGTTTTAGATAGATCGATATCAGATACTCAACCAGAAAAAATTGTTTTGAAAAATGTGCAGATTTCATTCCCATGTGTGATCATACATCGCATTCACTTCATACAATAGTATTTGTCTTACAAATTCTCTTTTACAGTTATGTAAATACTAAATCCAAGTCTAGAATAAAAAGAAAATCTCATTTTCTCCCAAATTCTACAGGCATACAAAGATATACACCATTCATCCAGAATAATGGTGATTTTTTTCATGCATAATATTTATTAAAAACTTACGCGAGCCACCTGGAAAAAATACGGAAAATTCAAAATTAATCTTGTCCTTACGAGTTCTTTGAACATTCTGGTCTGGATTGCCACAATATTTGCTTGATAATACATGGGGAAATGTAGATACAGGTGAAACAACGATGTGAAAATGAACATATACTGCATTTAATCACAAAAATAATATATATATCTCCTAATATCAAATGTGCAATTCTTCCGGAAAATACACAAATCAACATTCAGATGATTCCATTGCATAATGCTCTTCCATTCTTGTCCTTATATAGTTAATTAGATCTGATTATCCAGATAAAAATTCTATATTTGATGACTGTGATCCAGGGAATTTCGTGACAAGGCTTTAAAGATTTAATACCCTGTCACATTAATTCAAGCCAGAATAAGCATTAGCAATGATCATTGATTGTATGGAATGTGTTAGGGGGGTAAATTGTGACCAAAAAAAACTTAAACATAGAAAAATAATGATCGCTTTGCTTACCCTGGAAGTTGCCTGTTGCACGGTAGGTAGGGGGGAAAAGAAATAAACGCTTGTTAAATATCTATGCATCAAATTCATTATAGCAGACAGCATAACTTTTAGAATTTGTTATAAATCATTTGTCGCATGCATGCGCATATTGCATAAGATAACAATTATCATAACATAGTAATAAATATGATTACATTTCCATCTTTCTAAAATATTAAATTTATCTTCGTACTTAAAATCAATACATTTTTTCAAAAAATCATGAAAACACTCAATGATACAGAAAAAATGTGAAGTAAAAAAAAAGGCGCTACACATTTTTCGCGCAGCAAAAAATGGATACTAGATAGCAACTACAACATGCTTAATAGCTAGACAGTGCGCTGTTATAATCATACGCAAATTGTACAACACCGCGCGAGCACATTATATATGGCAGACAAAGTCATTAGTAGAGAAACCACAAATATAACAAATATAGATATAAAATGGACAGAGTTAAAGGTTTTTTCACACTTTCTTACGTAAATCTATTTCCCAGATTTTGTTTTTTTGTGATAACACTTTACAGGAGTACACAATAAATGATAAACAATACATGCAGTTATATATATGTTAAACGACAGCAGAGAAATGCCGACTGATGAAAAAAAAAGGAATAACAAGTATGTGTCTGACTGAATCAACTTACTTGGAAAAATGTTTTTACCATTTTGTTTTACTGTTATTAGGCTGTCTGCAATGGAGGCATAAACTTAGACAAATCGGGATTTTTCCTTTACATGACTTCAGAGAGCAAGAAGGGTAACAAAGATTTTCTTCCAAATGAGAATAAGGGTATCCCCTACCCCCTCCCATTCTTCTTATGTCACCAATTTCTGTGTTCATGAATTTACCCCCCCCCCCCCCTACCTTAAAGCATACCTAGCGCAAATGAATGCAACCCAACCTACCTTCCTAAAGAAAACTAGAAAATGTGTAAATACATTATCTTCCCTTTCTATCCCTCCTTGGACCTCAATTTCTGTATAACCTGGTCAACCAATCAAAATTAAATTTCAAAGCCCTGAACTGATTGGATTTAAGGAAAAAACCCTGAGGTTCTTATCTCTTCTGACAAGAGGAATAGCCAAAATAAACATTTCTAGTTGGAGAAAAAAAAGTTGGAAAGAAGAAAGGATGCTTCTACATGTTGGTCAGTTCCTATGCCAAGCCATTTTAATTAGCTAATCTCTACAGAATGTTAATCAGATGCATGTCACAAAAAGGATGCGTCACCAACTGTATCACAACAGCCAAATCGTGTTCTCTAATCCGCACAACGGTTAGAAAAAACTCGTACAAAATGAATATCTGGCTGTTGCAATATTTTGGTATTTAAATACGGCATGCATTTTAGTGCTAAGTCACATGGATTCAGTCTACAGGGTTTTCACTCGCATAACTGCAAGACCTAACTTCATGCAAATTAGTCGTAGTACAGGCTACCAGCAAGTAAACATAACAAGATGTTTTACAGTTGCAATTGTACTTTTCTCAAAGATATCCATACCTTTTGTATGATTTACTTTTTCAGAAATAATAATAAATTTTGATCATGTTCCAGAGCCCATACATCATAAGTTAGTTCAACAAATATTGATTATTTGTTTAACCTCTCTATAGTGTACTTACTGCATGATAAACGCATGCTATCACCATGGTAATTGTGTTTTGATACCATGCACAGAAATATTTTTTTTATCAACATGCCATAGCATTTGTTTAGGTACAGCTCCATCTGTGATGGAACAAAGACATTGCGTGCTTTCTTGTAAAAGTACTGCACTTAAAAAATTCAACCAATGGATAAGCCACAACAGAGTCACATGACCACTTACTTCCTTCATTGGTGATGACAGTGATAAGCTGTGACACTGGACCCTCCCCTTTACTGGAGTAAGCTAGGACACAAATTGTGTAGGTGTCATTGGGCTTCAGGCCCGTTATTATCGTCTCATTGGTGTTTGATTGAAGTTCTTTGTTGTTCCAGAGAATTATGGGTAAATCAGCTTGCAGAGTGTAGAACACTCGGTATCCCTACAAAAAAAACAAGTCATGATCAAGCATATTTCTACACAGAAAACTGTTAGATTGTAAAAAGTATAATAATTGTTGAAAATGTATTTTTTCTTTTCTTCCTTTCTTTTTAAAAATTTTAATTTATTTATCCATTTTTTTTTTTTTTGCTGACAACAACCTGTATGACCCCATTAGGTTTCTCTGGAGGTAGCCAGGACACACTGACAGTGTTGGAGTTGAGGGCCTTGGCTGTAACGTATCTGGGAGGAGTTCCAGGGGCTGCAAGATAAAAAATCGAAATTCATAAAACAAGGTAAACTTCACTTAAAGAAGCACAGAATTCTTATTCTAGGACAAACGTAATTGCCCAACTTTGCATCTTATAATTTAATTAATCAATAAAATGTCTCTGCAATGTAAATTGTTTTTGCTTCAGTGAAAAATAATTCTTGGAAGCAAGATCTGTTTAATTGACCATATTTCAATTAGAAATGTGTTCATGCTTCCAAGGACAGAAGTAATACATAACTTAAGTACACATATCTGAAATCATGCAAAACTGTCAGTGAAAGTACAAGTATTTCAAAATATACATAAGTGATATATTAAAGTTAGAAGTATGTAAAAACTTGACTTTCAAGTACTTTTCATTTCAACTTTATGTCAACAACTTGAATACTTATGAGGACAGCTTTAGAAACTGGGTGACCTAGGAATATATTTTCACCAAAGGCCAGTTTCTGTGTGCACAGTAGAGAAAAGATGTGGTAAAAAGATTAAATCCAATCTGACTCCCAGTAAAGCTAATCAAACTCTCCCCATGATGTGCCACTGCCTGTATCCTGCCAGAAGCAAGCTAACCCAGGTGAAACAGTATACTCAAACTGACAGGATGTAGAATATCTCACATGATAACATCTTTTTTTTAAAAACCAAAAACCTCATACACAGCTTTTAAATACAGGCTGGCCAATAATGTATCAAATTCTAATGAATTCAAAACAGGCTTATTTACAGGGAATGATAATGTGAATTTGCTGCAGACAGAACAACTTCATTACAACACCATATGTATCTCCTTAGTAATGATCAATTAGGCATCTGGATGCTGGACATTCATTCAGTGTTGGAAATTTCAGAACATATGTACTGCATCTTAATTCTTATGGATTCATAATTTAAAACTCTAAAATTCTAGGACTACACTTTTATACTATGACTAACAAAATAACTAGTATATCAATATTGCCATCGTATAGGTTTACCCAAGTGATATTAAATTTAATCTATCTAGACTACTCAATAATTCAGAAAGCTGCCAATATTCTAAAATACTAAAATAGATATACAAACTTATTTTAATCATAATGTTGAAAAATACGTTATACACAGCAAGACACTACACAGCTGGAGGTGAGCACAATTTCAAACAAGACCTACATTCCCTCTGCTTGGCAACTGATAAAACCGTCTTAAATACCGGTACATGTAAAATCTTTGGGGGTACAAATATCTAGGATTGGAACATGAATTTATTTAAAATGTTTACATCTTATTATTATTTTTTTTTGTTTTATCACGAGTGTTGTTTGAAAATTCATGTTATTCTAAACTTTTCTTAAGAGATGCTTATGAAATTATCACACCCAAAAAATGGTCCCCAATTGTTTGTTTGAGTAGTCATACACAGTAAAAAAAGTTTTTAAGAGTAGTTTATGAAGTAGCTGAAGTGACGTTTTCACTGGTTTGACATTTAATAAAGGTCTGATGAAGTGTGTTCCTGTGAATGCTTCTCTTCATCTGTCAAAGTCTGAAGTTTTCCCTCCTTCTGCCATGGGGGCACTCCTAATACTGTGCAAGTCTATTATTAGAGGGTGACCGGAGTTTTTGAATTCTTTGAGTGATCTATATGCCCTTGACCTCCTACAAGGCACTCCCACTGTGTGATTTTAGTAAGGTGACCCAATTCTTGGGTTCTTTGAGTGATGTACATGTCCCTGATTTCCTACTATGAGTCTAGTAAGGGTGACCCAGTTTTTTGAATTCTTTGAGTGATGGACTTGTCCCTTAGGCCACCACTCCCACTGAGGGTCTGGGAAGTGTGACCAAGTTCTGTAAATGATGTCCTTGACCTTATTACCTACTGCCATGATCTTTTAGCACTTGGTCCTGTACTCTAACTGAAGATTTGGAACAGAGACATGCTGCTCCAGCAGAACTTAACCAGCCTTTTGATTTTAGATTTTACTACAGACACTCACAAGTGTCAGATCAGCAAGAGCTCTGTAATTTTTTTGACAGAGAGTAAAAAGGTATTACATTCTTTTGCTACCATTAATCTTAATTCAAAAACATAATAAACAGCTTGATAACTAGTACCTTCTTTATTTCTCTCTTTTATCTTGTCAGGTAAAGCACAAAGAGAATAGGAGATGCCAAATATTTTCATCGGCATAATTCTGAAAAACTTCTGAAACTGTAGAATCTGTATCTAGAACCCTGCTAATTTCTGTAAGACTTTGTTTTCTAAACTTTCCTCTAAACGCATCAGTACAGTAACCTGAAACTGGTAATCAGAATCTACCGTGGCAAAGTTACCCAAGATGTTGAAACATTTTCAGTGCATTTCTGCACGAAGGCACTGAGGGGATTTGGCCTGATAAATTCTACTCCTCAATGATCAGATAAGATTTTTTTTCTCCTCTCCATCTGAAGATTTGCTGGAAGCATGGATGATGAATCATGTTATAAGAGTTTAGTTTACATAGAATAACCTACCACCAATCCTAACAGGAGAAAAAAAGATTGACAAGTACAGATGTTGGGGAAAGAGAAAGAAAAATGGACTTCATTAAATAGAAATTAAATTTTACCCCTAACTTGTACATGTTGTACAGGTGTATGTATGGAGTATATACTAGTAATACATCACAAGACATATAAATGAAGAAATGAAATATCAGAATTATAAAATCTAACATACAAAGACAGAAACATTCCTGATAATTGACATTAGTGTACTCGTGACTCACAAAGGAATCAGCTTTTAAATCATTTCAGGTCATAAACCTTACAAACAAAAACAGATATTTCATCTTCATTTTTTAAGACCACTGACAATTCCATTTCTGGTAGCAAATTGTTATATTGATTACAAAATCTGTCTACAAAAATCACTTAAAGCTTGTACCTGGGTGATACAATCAATGTGAAAGCCATTACACCGTGATACGTAATTAACTTCAGAAAAAAATATATGTTTGATAGAAATGTTAATATCCTGCCTCACCATGCTTGTATAAGGCTTTTATTTCATTTCTTTGATCACTGTCAAAGACAACAAAGTAGCCATTAATTATATTTAATCAATATGACATCACTCACCATTACCTAACCGACACAGAACTTTGATACATTCTATAGGCAAAATGTCAAGATTATATGACAAGTTTTCAATATCACGAAATCTGATCATTAAATATGTAAAAATATTTTACATAATCAATTAATAAATCAAAGGTGTAAGTCAATAAGTTTCAAATTTCTATCAAGCCATATCATCCATTTTTAGCAGCAGCTAGATTGAAAAATTCCATTAGAGTGAAAAATTCAATGTAATTCTGAGAGAAAGTTATCTCAGATGCCCCTAATAGTGTTTATAGTAGTCTGATTATGCAATGTCAAATCACACCCCTTAACCCTCAGCATGGGAGGGGGGCAAGATGCATTTTAACCTCTTATAACACAGGAGGGGGTTAAGCCTGGTGTGTGGTAGATAAGCTCTTCAGTCTGCCCTATCTCTAGTACAGGATGGGTGATAGGTGATAATCAGTATTCGCAGATTGATGGACACTAATTACCATATGGCATGTCGGTAAATAACAAACTCTTACAATCCTAGCCATGCTCTAACCTCTATAACAACATGCATACACAGAGTGCACTGGGCCAAGTTCATTGCAGGCTACTTTATCTTAACAATTGTATACTTGTTTTGGATCAAATTTCAAGTGTTTGGCTAACTTTTTTATCCCAATAAATAATTAACAACAAAATATTTAAACATCATTCCTTAAATATTCTAAACGAAATAGGTTCTTCACCAGTATAAATGACTCAAAATCATTAGAAAGAAAAGATTTTTTGATATCTGCCAAAGGAAATGAATCATGCCATTTTCCAAAATTATATTCTGGTACTAATTCTGAAACCAACCTAGCTCTCCAGTTCGGACTTCAATGGTATCGCTGGCCTGACCACGGCCATAATTATTAACACCTACAACACGAAATTGATAAACCGTGTATGGCTGAAGACGTCTAACAGTGAAATCTGACTTTTTAAGAGGACGAGTTTCGATCCACTGAAAACTATCATCGTCCTTGGGTTTGTACTGGATCACCGCTTCGTTACTCCCAGCATTCCATGTCAGCCTCACAGACTGCGGAGTCACTTCCCAGTGAGTTAATCCCGTAGGTTTCTCCGGGACACTCTGAGTATTAATTCCACTCAGTAAGGCCAATATAAAAACACAACTCGCAATAAAACCCCTGTAGTATAAGCTCCGAGAAATTAGTTCCATATTGTTTGATAAGTTTTCATCAGGTTTCAAAAAATTCCAATCTCTCTCAGAACAAGAGAATAATGATCACATTATGTTGCTGCAGTAGGCCTGTAAATTAATTCCCTGACACTAAAGCTGTTTACAGAATTATTGATGAATATTATCCTTGATTCTCCTTTCTAATTAAATTGCATGTCACAGAGAAAACAATCCTTTGTATTGTTTTGCTTTCATTTTGACTTCATCACTTGCAACACAGGGAACCTCAGGCTCATCACTTCTGAGAGGTCATGTGACTCTCTACACTCACCTGATTGGTTAATCATTATCTGTGTGGAAAAAGGGGGGAACTTCTCATCATCCTGGTAATCTGGTTGTCATAGCAACTCACCATGTAACACTCTATGTCATGGTGTGTCAGTTGAGAAATACAGTGCATTGAATGTAGTCCAACATCTTTTGATATGTGCTAAACTTGAAAATGGCTTTTTATCAGAATTATCTGACAGATAGAGGGATAAAAAAAGCATTCAATAACATACATCTATGTGATAAGACAGAGATTAGAGAAAATATGAAGCGAATAAAATTTGGTGCTCTCCATCAACTGTTTTTCAAAGCTAGTTCCACCAGGAATACAGATAGGAATCTATCTCTTGCCTTCATACTTATCAAATGTTTTTCTAAGAAGCTAGTGCTCTTAAATTTTTGGTTT